AGGAGGAGGAGCCAGAGCAGAGGAGGACGGAGAAATGAGCAGGGGGGGAGGAAAAAGAGGAGAAAGGGTGAGGATGAGCACCCGCAGGAGAAGGAATAAGGAGACTGAAGAAGGAAGAGAAAGAGCAGGCGGAGGAGGAGCAGCGCAGCAGGAGAAAGGGGACGGAGGCAGGGGGAGAAGGGTTGCGAGGAAGAGAAGCAGGATGATGAGAATCATGAAGGTGAGCAGGGGGAGCAGGGGGAGGGGGGAGGATCCGGGGAGAGAGGCTGATGAGGGAGAAGGACGAAGGAGCGAACTGGAGAAGGCCTCCTCTGGTCAGGGCAGCGAGGCAACCTGGCCCGACCGCAATCGCCGTCACACCGCACTAACCTCTCCGCGGCCCACCGACCTGCTCCTTCCCCAGCCTTCCCGACCGTCCCCCCCCTCCTCTCCACCCCCTCCGCGCTCCTCACCTCATCCTCCCTCTCCATCCTCGCTCCGCAAACCTTCTCCCTCGGGCCGGGGACGGATTGGAATCAGAACAGGCGCCATGATCTCTGGGGGGATATCATGGCCCCCACCAAGAGATCCACCCCCCCAGTCATCAGCCCCCCCTCCCCCGAACCAGGGACGTAGGCCCGGGCCCCGGCGGCACCGGGTCCTGGGGCTTTCCGCGGGTCCATCTCTTCCGAGGCTTGATTCGGGCGTGTCCCCCTACAGGCGGATTTTGGACGGAACAAATACACAGAAATACCCCACAATATTCCAACAAAGATTCCAAACACAGTCCCCATACTCTTGTTTGACCATCTTGGAATAACCCCCCTGTAGAAGGGACACGCCCGCCTTAACCCGAGGCGTCCCTCCGCGCCCCCCGGGGCCCGGGCGTCCGAGAACGGAGACGACAGGTCGGGGGACCTTTCCTCCAGGACCCCCCTCCTCTTCCCCCAATCCCACGACCGCCAAGCCTCTGGGAGGGAGCGGGGGAAGAGCGACCACACATATGCACGATCGCTTTGGGGGGGGAAGACGGGCGCGAAGGGGGCGCGCGTCGGCACGAGAGGGGATTCGCAACGGAGGGAGCGCGACAGGCGGCGGGGGGAGGGGGTGGGGCGCTGGGAGGCGGGACGCGCACGGACGCATGGTTGCGCCGCCCGGCGCTCGCACCCCAAACCCCTGACGTCGCGATTCCTTCACAACGTCGACCCCCAGAGGTATGGACCCCTTCGCCGGGACCGGTAGTTCATCCTGAGTCGTAACGAAAAAGACGGTCGTGATTATTTTTCAACAGCGCGAGGGGGTTTGGGTCCTGGCGAAGGCTTCGCCCTCCTGTTTGCTCGCCTGGACTGGAGACGGACAGCATGGGCGCGATGTTTAACAGCAGCGACTGCTCATGTGGAACAAGAGGTGCTGTCACTCAGAACCTGCGAGCAGAAATCTTGTCGTTTGGGCTGCGATTCTCGCCCATGTGAAGAACAGGTGCTGTCAAATGGTCCGGGGCTGCTGTCAAAATGACAAGATCCGTTGTCCGCTGGGCCGGGAAATGCAGCAAATCCTGTTCCAGATGAACAGGCTCTGCTGTTGTAGAGGCCTCCTGGGTGGGGTCCGAGAAGATGGGGTCGGAGGATCGCGACGCATCGCCGATGCATCGCCAATGCGTCGCCGGTGCGTCGGCGACGTCGGCGTGGAGAGAACGGGGCGTCACACCGAGCCGCATCGCCGATGCCTCGTCGACGCGGAGCGATCCCATCGGGGAGGCCCAGCTGTGGGGCATCGTGCCCGTATTTTCCGTCCACACCCCTCGGGCGGGTGGCAACGGGGGGGGCGCCCCCATTCATTACCGTTAGGTCGGGCATGTCCCCCTACAGGAGGATTCCGGACGAAAGATAAAACATACGCAACAAAAATGCAACAAATGCTCAACAATGGTCCAACCCACACTATTTTTTGACGATCTTTGAATATGCCTCCTGTATAGGGACAGGCCCGACCTAACATTACCACCCGCCCGATCCACACCACCACCACCACCACCACCGGAAGTTGGAGGGGGGAAGGAGGAGAAGGAGAACGAGGAGGAGGAGGAGGAGGACGAAGAGGAGGACGACGAGGAGGAGGAGTAGGAGGAGGAGGAGGAGGACGAAGAGGAGGAGGAGGAGGAGGAGGAGGAGGAGGAGGAGGAGGAGGAGGAGGAGGAGGACCCCCTCCCCCTCCAACTTATGGCGGTGGTGGTGGACAACAGGCCTATCACATTACCGCCCGCCCGATCCACACCCCGGGCGGGCAGCTCCCCGGCGGGGGGCCGCCTCGCCGATGTCCTCCAGGCGCTCGATCCGGTTGCCGGCCAGCAGCAGCACGCGCAGCTGCTGCAGGGCGCTGGCCAGCGACGGCTCCAGGTGGGACAGCTGGTCTTAAGTCGGGCCTGTCCTCCTACAGGGGGATTTTTGACGAAAGATAAGACATGCCCCCAAAATACTCCAAAATTGTCAGAAAATGCCCCAACAATCGCCCCCAGAGTATTTTTAACAATTTTTGAAGATTCCTCCTGTAGAGGGACAGGCCCGACTTAAGGCTGGTTGCGCGACGCGTCCAGGATCAGCCGGCCCCTCCGGGGGGGCATCTCGGGGCGTAGATCTTTTTCGCCCGGGTTGGTTTTCGCCCGGTGCGTTTCGCACGGTTCGTTTCGCCCGGGTTTGCTTTCGCCCGGTTGGCTTTCGCCAGGGTTGGTTTTCGCCCGGGTTGGCTTTCGCCCGGGTTGGCTTTCGCCCGGGTTGGCTTTCGCCCGGTTGGCTTTCGCCCGGGTTGGCTTTCGCCCGGGTTGGCTTTCGCCCGGTTGGCTTTCGCCCGGGGTGGCTTTCGCCCGGGTTGGCTTTCGCCTGGTTGGCTTTCGCCCGGGTTGGCTTTCGCCCGGTTGGCTTTCGCCCGGGTTGGCTTTCGCCCGGGCTCGTTTTCGCCTGGGTTGAACTTCGCCCTCCTCTTCCTCTTCTCCTCTTCCCTCTACTGTTCTTTCATGCTGCTGCTGCTGCTGCTGCTCCTCTTACCGAACCCGACCCGACCCGCCCCGCCCCGCCCGTTAGGGTCCGCCCGACCCGACCCGACCCGCCCGTTAGGGTTCACGCGTGCTCACTCGAGCGTGCCCCACACCTCAGCGTCCCGCCCGCCCGACCCGACCCGCCCATTAGGGTCCGCCCTGCCGGACCCGGCCCGCCCGTTAGGGTCCGCCCGACTCGACCCGACCCGCCCGTTAGGGTTCACGCGTGCTCACTCGTGCGCGCCCCACACTTTAGTGCCCCGCCCGCTTCACCCGACCCGCCCGTTAGGGTCCGCCCGACCCGACCCGACCCGCTTCGCCCGCCAGGGTCCGCCTGCCCCACCCGACCCGCCCGTCAGGGTTCACGCGTGCTCCCTCGAGCGCGCCTCCACACTTTAGTGTCCCGCCTGCCCGACCCGACCTGCCCGTTAGGGTCCGCCCGGCCCGAACCCGCCCCGCCCGTTAGGGTCCGCCCGACCCGACCCGACCCGCCCGTCAGGGTTCACGCGTGCTCACTCGAGCGCGCCCCACACTGTAGTGTCCCGCCCTGCCCGACCCGACCCGCCCGTCAGGGTCCGCCCGACCCGAACCCGTCCGCCCGTTAGGGTCCGCCCGACCCGACCCGACCCGCCCGTTAGGGTTCACGCGTGCTCACTCGAGCGCGCCCCACACTTTAGTGTCCCGCCCGCCCGACCCGACACCGCCCGTTAGGGTCGCCCGACCCGACCCGACCCGACCTGCCCGTTAGGGTCCCGTCTGGTTCCGACCCGAACCCGCCCGTCAGGGTTTTCAGCGTGCTCACTCGAGCGCGCCTCCACACTTGAATGTCCCCCCTGCCGAACCCGACCGCCCGTTAGGGTCGCCCGACCCGAAACCCTGGGTGGCCCCGTTAGGTCCGCCCGACCCGACCCGACCCGCCCGTTAGGGTTCACGCGTGCTCACTCGAGCGCGCCCTAAACTTTAGTGTCCCGCCCGCCCGACCCGACCCGCCCGTTAGGGTCTGCCCGACCCGACCCGACCCGCTTCGCCCGCCAGGGTCCGCCTGCCCCACCCGACCCGCCCGTCAGGGTCAGCCGCGTGCTCACTCGCCCGCGCCTCCACACTTTTAGGGTCCCGCCTGCCCGACCCGCCCCGCCCCCCGTTAGGGTCCGCCCGACCCGAAACAGTCCCGCCCGTTAGGGTCCGCCCGACCCGACCCGACCCGCCCTCAGGGTTCACGCCGTGCTCACTTCGAGAGTGCCCCACACTTTAGTGTCCCGCCCGCCCGACCGACCGCCCGTCAGGTCCGCCCGACCCGAACCCGTCCCGCCCGTTAGGGTCCGCCCGACCCGACCCGACCCGCCCGTCAGGGTTCACTCGTGCTCACTCGAGCGCGCCCCACACTTTAGTGTCCCGCCTGCCCGACCCGACCCGCCAGTTAGGGCCTGCCCGACCCGACCCGCCCCGCCCTGCCCGTTAGGGTCCGCCCGACCCGACCCGACCCGCCCGACCCGCCAGTCAGGGGTTCGCCCGCCCTCACCTCCCCCCCCCCCCTGAGTGCGCCTCCACACTAGTGTCCCTCCTGCCCGACCCGCCAGTTTTAGGGTCCGCCCGTCAGGGTCCGCCCGACCCGAACCCGTCCCGCCCGTTAGGGTCCGCCCGACCCGACCTGACCTGCCCGTTAGGGTTCACGCGTGCTCACTCGAGCGCGCCCCACACTTTAGTGTCCCGCCCGCCCGACCCGACCCGCCCGTTATGGTCTGCCCGACCCGACCCGACCCGCCCTGCCCGTTAGGGTCCGCCCGACCCGACCCGACCCGCCCGTCAGGGTTCACGCGTGCTCACTCGAGCGCGCCTCCACACTTTAGTGTCCCGCCTGCTCGACCCGACCCGCCCGTTAGGGTCCGCCCGACCCGAACCCGTCCCGCCCGTTAGGGTCCGCCCGACCCGACCCGGCCCGCCCGTCAGGGTTCACGCGTGCTCACTCGAGCGCGCCCCACACTTTAGTGTCCCGCCTGCCCGACCCGACCCGCCCGTCAGGGTCCGCCCGACCCGAACCAGTCACGCCCGTTAGGGTCCGCCCGACCCGACCCGACCCGCCCGTTAGGGTTCACGCGTGCTCACTCGAGCGCGCCCCACACTTTAGTGTCCCGCCCGCCCGACCCGACCCGCCCGTTAGGGTCTGCCCGACCCGACCCGACCCGCCCTGCCCGTTAGGGTCCGCCCGACCCGACCCGACCCGCCCGTCAGGGTTCACGCGTGCTCACTCGAGGCGCGGCCCTCACTTTAGTGTCCGCCCCGCCCGACCCGACCCGCCGTTAGGGTTGCCCGACCCGACCCGACCGGCCCTGCCCGTTAGGGTCCGCCCGACCCGACCCGACCCGCCCGTCAGGGTTCACGCGTGCTCACTCGAGCGCGCCTCCACACTTTAGTGTCCCGCCTGCCCGACCCGACCCGCCCGTTAGGGTCCGCCCGACCCGAACCCGTCCCGCCCGTTAGGGTCCGCCCGACCCGACCCGACCCGCCCGTTAGGGCTCACGCGTGCTCACTCGAGCGCGCCCCACACTTTAGTGTTCCCGCCCGCCCGACCCGACCCGCCCGTTAGGGTCTGCCCGACCCGACCGACCCGCTTCGCCCGCCAGGGTCCGCCTGCCCACCCGACCCGCCCGTCAGGGTTCACGCGTGCTCACTCGAGCGCGCCTCCACACTTTAGTGTCCCGCCTGCCCGCCCCGACCCGCCCACCCGTTAGGGTCCGCCCGACCCGAACCCGCCCCGCCCGTTAGGGTCCGCCCGACCCGACCCGACCCGCCCGTTAGGGCTCACGCGTGCTCACTCGAGCGCGCCCCACACTTTAGTGTCCCGCCCGCCCGACCCGACCCGCCCGCTAGGGTCCGCCCGACCCGGCGCGACCCGCCCCGCCCGTTAGGATCCGCTCGCCCGACCCGGCCCGCGTGTGAGGGTCCGCTCGACCCGTCCCGCCCGTTAGGGTCCGCCCACCCGATCGGGCCCGCACGCTGGGGCTCACGCGTGCCCACTTGAGCGCGCCCCGCATTTTTTAGCGTCCCGTTCTGACGCATATCAGACCCTCCTTGACATCTGGGACCTCCTTGACCCCCCCCCCCACGTCTCTGCGACCCTTTCGCCTACTCAAGCGGCGCGCCTCAAAGGCTCCCAGGGGTCAGCACGGCGGCGACGGCCACGCCAGCGACGGCGGCGCCTACTTTTGCCCCTGAGCCTGCCCCGCCTGCTCCCCGCCCGGCCCCGGCGAAAGCCAACCTCGGCGAAAGCCAACCCTGGCGAAAGCCAACCCCGGCGAAACAACCCGGCGAAAGCCAACCCCGGCGAAAGCCAACCCGGCGAAAGCCAACCCCGGCGAAAGCCAACCCCGGCGAAAGCCAACCCGGCGAAAGCCAACCCGGCGAAAGCCAGCCCCGGCGAAAGCCAACCCCCGGCGAAAGCCAACCCGGGCGAAAGCCAACCCCGGCGAAAGCCAACCCCGGCGAAACGAAGCCCGGCGAAACGAAGCCTGGCGAAACGAAGCCCGGCGAAAGCCAACCCCGGCGAAAGCCATCCGTGCCCATCTCGGCTGGGCGGCCGCCAGTCTCGGTAGGCACCCGCACGAAGCACTCCAGGACATGTGCACGACCTAAGGAACGATAGATAAGGACCGAAGCCCCGTTAGTTCCAAGTAAGTCTACGAAGACCGAGGGAACACCAGGGGGGCTCGCCGCCAAAACAGTAGCGGAACGCATGCAAACCAAAGGAACGACCGAGCCCCTTTTGAAAAGTATGTGTTCCTTATTCAAGCTGGACCCTGTAGGAAGCTGCGAGTGCGGCACCCGCGCGCCATATAAGTCTGGACGGGTCGCGGCGCCGGCTCACTGCTGATGGGCGGTCGGTGCGCTGCGCACATCGAAGCTGCCGACGGTTCTGGATCCGCTTCGTGCTTCCCCCCAGACGAGTCTCGGGCGAGAGCGCCTTTGCGAGTTCGAGCTGAAGAACTGCCAACCTACATTTTCGAGGAAGTCCCGGGCGGGTTCGCCATGTCGGAATCAAGCCAGGAAAGTGTCGAATTCCAGCTTTCAGGACGTCCTGGTAGGAAGCGCCATTTCGAAATCGACCCCGAAGAGCTCCGAGTGCTGGTCCGAAGGAAGTCGTGGGCGGGAGCGCCATTTCGAAACCGAACCAGAGGGGTGTCGAATTTTTGTTTGGAGGAAGTCTTGAGCGGGATAGCCATTTCGAAATCCAACCCGAATGTTTCGAACTCGTTCGAAATTGATCGTTGAGGAAGTCTCAAGCGAAACCGTCGTTTCGAAATGGCCAGCCACAACGCCTGGCATTTTAGATCTGAAATTTCTGACCAAGGATTTCGAACATATGGTTGTCGCGTGGAACTCCCTCCAAAAAACGATCTCGACTGGATTTCGAAACCATCGGGCTCGAATTCGGAAGGGGGGTTCCGCCCGAGACCTGGGCAAAACGATGCTTGACCACAACAGTGTACTGGGGTTCGCAGCAGAACGGGCCCCTTTGACGTCGCCTCTCTGGTCACGGGCGCAGGGCCACTGACGACGTTGCACCGAGGGCCCGTCGCC